ATAAGCTTTTTCAAAATAGGTGAATCTTCTCTTCTAACTGCTTTCTTTGCCTTCTTCTTGGGTGTAGATGAGTTGACATCCGTACCTTCATTGGAACGTTTTTACTGCTGGTATCAGATTGTTCTTCACCATCAACGCTCATTTCTTCTTCCTCTTCCGGTTCTATATCAGTTGATGGACATATAGGACACAATTTTCGTGGATTATCGATACAGTTGTAATGGATGATATGCTTGCAAGTTAAATATACAAGTGGTTTTAAGGGAGCTTGAGGTCGAGGAGAGAACCGAAGAAAGCCTATAGGTGGGAGACATGAAGAAAGATCTTCAGAACATTTGGCGCACCTCAAATTACTTTCGACTTGTTGGGTTGCCATACCCTCGATCCCTTTCATCTGTATAGGTGGTGAAGATAGTACGAATGTTTCGCCCATCAAAGGTAAAATTCCAGTTGATTGGGAGGCCTCCTTGGGATCAGTTAACGGCAAATTGGAAACAGTACCAAGGGAATTAGCTTGATCTAATATTTCCACATTCTTTCTACAACCTGGGAATGGACATGTGTTTGGAACAGTAAGTAAAAGCTTTTTTTCGATACAGAGTCTATGAAAAAGGTGTCCGCATGTTAGGTATGTGAATGCCTTGAGAGGAGATATTAAAATGTCATTGCCACATTCGGAGCATGGCCTTAGTTCTGTAATTTTTTTACTCTTAATAATACCATCCTTGAAGGTTTTTATAATATTATATACGAGATTTTTGATGTTATTAATGGGAGTAGATGGTGCAGAAGTAGAAGCGGTAGACATATTTCAATTATAACCAGATAAGTTTTACATAACGAAATCCCTTATACTTTGCTTATTTTTATAGTTTATTCTTCACGACTAACAAACCTAATTTGCAGATTTTATGAAATCTCATTTCGGATTTGGCGATCTATTCATTCACAAATTATTTAGTATGGACTCGGATCACTCGATCTACTGGCAATTCTCAAGTTTATTAGCATTTTGATAATACTGATCTTGAGCATGTTTTACAAATGGTCCATTAACTCGATAAAGCCATTTAATTACTGCATACTGAATTAGTTTAGCTGAATTTATTTATTTTCGCCATAAACGATACGTTCGCTGGATAATAGTTGCTGATCGATTTTTTATATACAAAGTTAGGAAATATGTTACTTGGGTTTTAAATTCTCTAAATTCAGAGTTATTGGCTATGGATTCATTTCTGATTAAATTATTTTTAATACGAAATACAAAGTTTCTCCAATGAACCTTTCTATTAATATCATATCCTAGTATTAATAAATGTCTTCGTATATATTCGGGTGGATGATACTTCGCAAATCGTAACCATGCCTTTGGTGTTTTTAGATTATTGATATAGTTTAAACCATAATCGGTTAACATATATCGGGTATAACTATTTTTTTCCCATTCCTCAATAATATCTTGAATATTAGGCATGTTTAACGCGTAGATTTTACTAACTAAGGCTTTTATTTAATAAGTATACACCCTTTTTTCTCACAAGCTTGAAAAAAGATCTATCTGGATTACCGATATATCTGGCTTCGAGTGATTTAATCATGAGAAGGCGAGATTTTTATTTCACTTCGACACTGCCAATTTATAAGAAAAAAAATATTAATATAAAAATATATCTCTCAACTGTGATCTCAAGAATAGCATTAGGAAAATGGTGGACGAGTCTCATGTATATGAGGGCCCAGCGAAAATTCTCTAACTAGTGATCACTTCCCGACCTGCCTTCTGATATTTATTTTTGAATTTCAGCTAACATTGCATCAATTTCAGCTAACATTGAATCCATTTCTATTGTTTGAGATGATGAAGAAGCCTATATTTGGGGTTTTGAACTGTTGCTTGTCTCTGGTTCAGAGTCAGACTCTTCTGATTCTGTATCACCTATAGCATAATTATCACCTGCATCAAGGCGGTCTGATTCTTGCCTTATTGCGATTCTCGAAAGCAGTTTAAGATGTTGGGGTGTTGGTTTCTTACCACCATAGATTCTGGAAGCATGTTTACTTCCATAATCTCTTAATTTTTTAGGTATGGTTCTATAAGGTTCTTGTTTTAAGAACTCATTAAATGGCCAAGCATTACGTGTTTCACATTTAGTAAAGACAGGGTCAGATAAGTTTTTAGCCTTAATTGCGCCTTGAATCCAGATAAGCAATTCCCTTGCATGTTCTAGATTTTTCTCCATGGAAAGAAATGGTCGAGGCTCGGGATTCTTCTTCTTTTCTCCTCTACTTTTTAAATAGCCTGTACAATACCAAGAATAACCTTCTTTATACCATACTGGAATATTCAAAGAATCCGGTTCATAGTGATTAATCTGGAGAGACCTTACTTCTGCAGGTCTCATACTCAACATCACAATCACATCCGCAAGATCTTCTCTAGATGGAATTTTAGAAACATCCATATTCTGAATTCTTTTACTTACATTTGCTAAGGAGAAATGTATAGGAATTCTATCCGAATTAGCTATTCGTTTCTTAGTTCGCTTTTTCTAAATTTTATTAGACTCTTGAATAAGTTCTGGATCTTTGGCATAGGTATTAATAATTTTAGGACTTACCCCACCTTCTGCTAACTTCACACAAAATTGTGACTGACGCGAACCACTGGCGACTATTTCATTTTCATAATTATTTTTTGGGCCTAAATCTAAATGATAAGCAAAAATGTTCATAGCATCACCGATTTTAGCACAATATTTTGCCCTTTTCTCTATAGTGAGTTTTCCTTTTTTTTTATCTGGTAAGAGAGCCTCTATTTGCTCTTCACTAAATTAGCGCCTGTTATCAGTGCCTCTGGCAAGGGCGACTTTAACACACCTGCGGGCCATCCAATCAGAAAGTAAAGTATCAAGTTTGGAAGCATGTTCGCTTAATTGTTTCGGGTGGAGTCTGCCGTCAGATTATGCTTTTCTAGGAACTGCTCTAAGACCAATACAAAGTTATTAACTTTAGGTTTTCAGGTCTTTGGGGTAGCTGTTTTCGTAGCCATGCCGATAGTAAGTGTTATCTAGCTATATATTAATCTAGTTATTTTTTTAATTCGAAAAAAATAATAATATTTTAGAATTTTATATTGCCTAATTGTAAAGAACCCTTTTATCCAAACACCTTACTTATAAACTGGCTTCATATTCGCTCTTTACCAAAGCATACCATTCTCCTGGAGTATGCTTACTGTTTTTTTTCATTTCTTATCAGTATCAAGCCACGAGGTTGTAATTCCATCATCCTCGAGCCCACGCCGGATAATTTCTTCCCCTATCAATCTTTCTCATATTATCATGTCCATGTGCTGATTAGGATCATCCTCTAACTCTATGGCACAAGCACACATTCGTGAATCAGTTTCCATCCTATCCCGGAATGTAATAGAATCGAGCCTGTCTTTTTCTGTGATGGTCATGAAGACGTCTAGATCCTCACCAAGTTCGATTGCCCTTTTTCTGAGGCACTCTTTGCGCTGGTCCCTGCTCATAAATATGGTAGATGATACTTCATTGATAGGCTTGAAAGAATCAGTTTTTTTAGGAGACATATCTAGCACTTCACTTATAGGCTCAATAGATTCAGATGACTTACTAGCTTTGAGCTTTTTATTTACTGTCTTAGGTGGTTTTGAAGTCTTGGAAGTTCCAGATGTTGAAGCGACTGGAGCTTCGGCTTGTTGAGATATGGCTGTTTTTAAGGAAGTGATTTCTGGCACATTGAATATAGGTATGTCTGTTGTCTCATTTTCCGGTAAGTCAGGCTGAAGTGTATCAGAAAATTCTTCGATATCGCCTAGGCCAGATTCACAGAGCTTGGCTACAATTTTGGGGCGATCAAGAATATACTGATATACTTTTACTCCATTATTTCGTGAATGTGTCTGATCAATTCCGATTTGTGAAAACTTCTTTCCAGCGACCTTACTAGTTAATAGCTTTTCCCCATTACACCCACACCATTCAATATAATCCTGGTATACCTTTTCACAACTAAACCTGCTAATACAATTTTTAGGCCAAGATGCAATATAATCAATAATAAATCGAATAGGATTAGGAAGTTGCTCTCGCATTGTTTCTATCTTCATTTTAGTTGTAGGAATTTTTCCTGGACTTCAATTTAATAAGTCACGGCCAAGAAGGTATGACATTACTACTTCTGGTGCATCAGAATAGTCTAGAATTTCTCCTAGCTGGTTAAAATATACTATATTACCTCTACAGCGTGCAGAGACATCAAAACAAACTATACGAGAATCACCTATATCTATTTTGAGTGGAGCATCCTGGTTACTTATAACCATATACCCAGCATAATCATTTATTCGTATAGTTTCAAGACCCTTATGCTCTATAGCTACTATTCGTTCTGTTATGAGTGATTTAAGATGCCCATTAAATCTATGCCATTCCCACTAGACATCCCAGTCTCATTTATAACAATAAGCTTTCGAGCTTGAATAGCACTATTAAAGCATCCAAGAATTTTTTCCAAATCTGACGTTGCGAAATGAAGGTGTGACCCCAACACTTTGTCACCAATAAAATCAGTGATAATATTTTTTCCGCACTGTTGTAGTGTAGATTTTAGTACTAAGATAGTTTGGGGCTTCTTCTCTGACTTCTGCACTAAATATGCCCACCAGTTCCAAATATATTCGTCAAGTCTTTCATCTCCACTACAGATTACGTTCTTTACATGTCAGAGAATTGGTTCCATAATTTCTTTGTTAATTTCTATTGCTGGCTTAGCCAAAAATCCTAGAAAAAGGTTAAAGAACTTCGTATTAAGAGCTGAAGTATTCAGCGGATACGGTAGAAAATTGATATTGCAATAAAGGATTAAACCCTTGGTAACTGCCCAATCTATTAAATTAATTAACTTCACCACCTCCCCACCTAGCTCAACTAAGTTAACTTCATACTTGGCAAGATCTAGTTTTGGCGCCATATCAAAATATAGTCCACCATTCGTATCTTCTGTTTTGAGCACCCATAACCTTGATGTCATTTGAATACAGGCAATAGTTGCCTGAATTGCATCATAAATCTCATTACGAGAAATTTTCCGCCCAGATATGCACATATCAATTAAATCACCCCATGTGAAGTGATTATTGGGATTTGAAATTCTAGATCGGTCTACTTTTACGGGACTTGGAAGCTTTTGTTCTTGATCTAAGGCAGTTTCACTAATAGTAAGTTTTTTCGAAGGCTTTCTGAACCTGGGTTGCCTATCTTGGTTTGCACGGTAGCAGAAAAAGCTGTATAATTTTTTATTTCGTATTATATAAGCATTATCATTATCATGTTCTCGGTCACATATTGGGCAGTGTGATGAAGAAACACGTAATAGTAGAAATTTGTCAGAAAAATTTTCAGATGGATATGCTTCAATATTAGCTTCTTGAAGTAATGTCTCTACTAGTTCAAATTCAGCATTGGTGGCGATATTATTTATGCTAGAACATCTCGCCATTTCTTGCTCCACAACAATTAAGAGAGGACTTTTGGCAATTTCTGATTCATCATTTGGCGGGCGAATCATGAAGTTAAAAATAGTTCCATCTTTGGGATGCATTGCTTTTTTCACACAAACATGCTCCTTTGTTTTTTCATTATACTTAGGCGAACCAAGCATTCACAAGGAAAATGAACGTTTATTCGCAATATTATCTATAATACTATTTTCCTGAAGAGATGCTGGAAGTTTCTTACGAACAAGTTCAGTGAATACTGCGACTTGAGTGATATTCTTAAGTCTCATACCAGTAGTAGAAATGTGGAGGGATATTTTTTTCGCATCAGTACTACTGGCAACAGTAATACTATTTTTTTTCCACTTTGGGAATATTTTAAGACAGACATCTCTAAAGGCACGATTGAGTGTATCTAGTATCTCTTTACGTGTAAGCTTAGATTCAATGCTATTATACACCTCTACTGGTAAATCAAAGTCGATGATAGGACGAAGTAGCTCATCACTATCAATAAATTCATATAAGGAATGGCCTTCACGATCTGAGAGTATGGCTTCTATTTCATCCGCATTGTCTGCACCTAGAAAATGCCTTGGTCTACTATCATCCCAAATTTTATATAAAGATGCACCTATATCAGATGCTTTAAACTCACAATAGTATGGAGCGGGGCCATCCAAGAACTCTGAAAGCTCGAAATGGGTCTTGGTAAAAATTTTTGGATATGTTATCTAGTATACTGAAATAGTATAATACTCTAACAAAAAAGTTTAAAATAAAAATAAATAATTATTATAGATATCAAAGTGTTACCCAAGAATAATATCAAATGGGAGGTAAGTATATTTGCCAGTATCATTCCGATGAAGGGGAGGTTTGTAGGCAGGGAAGCAGACGAGAAGAAGGGTGTTATATTCACTGGAAAAGATGCCAGCGATCTCTATACAAACAAGATGGATGTAGAAGACCAACGGCTTCTACATATGGATTATGTAATATGCACGTAAACAAGTGCCATTCAA